AAAAAGGAGAAAATAATGGCAAAATAGCATAAGGAAAAAGTAAAAGAAGCATGAAAACAAGAGAAGGAACCAAGTTCTCCATATGCGAGGCCACGATGCCACCATAATCCTAGTGATCTCCACTCACCCAGCACTGCCCTCAGCATCAAGATCCTGGTCCTGTTGTGTTTACCAGCGTGGCTCTAACTTAACCTCTGCAGTTACTGAGGACTCACTGGGGGCCAAACTCTGTGCTAGGTACTTTACCTGTATTATGTCATTTAATCCTTCCAACAGTGTGGTAATATTTTTATTATCATTTGCATTTTAACATAAGGTGACCAAGGCTTGGACAGGTTGAATAACTTGCCTAAGTAAGTAGCAGAGCTAGGACTGAAACCCAGATCTTATTGGTTCCAAAGTAGATGCTCTTATCACGGTGCCTCAGTTATCTCCTCCTGTGGATCATTTTTACGAATCCTGCTGCATTCATTCATTCACACATTAAGCAGATATTATTTGAACGCAGTAGTTTTCTTTTGAGACCATGACAAATTGCCACAAACTTAGTAGCTTAAAACAACCCAAATTCATTACCATAAAGTTCCATAGATCTGAAGTCCAACATGGTCTCACTAGGCTAAAATCAAGGTTTCAGCCCAGCTGCATGCCTTCAGGAGGCTCTAGGGGAGAATTCATTCCTTGCCTTCTCCAGCTTCTAGAAGCTCTCTAAATTGCTTGGCTTGTGGTTCCTTTCCTCTATCTTCAAAGACAGCAGCATAGCATCTTCAAATCTCTTTCTGACTACAGCCAGGAAAGGTTCTCCACTTTTAAGGACTTATGATTAGGTGACATATTCCCAAGGTCCTAGCATTAGTGCATGGGCATCTTCACGGGGCTAATATTCTTCCTTTCACAGGTGCCTACCCTGCACTGGGTATTGCTCCACAAGTATGAGATAGACAAGGAGGAGGAAGACAATGGCAAGTAAACAAATCCATATGCAAGACAATTTGAGATAGTGATGTGTACTTTCAAACAGTAAAAGAATTCAGATATTCACTTTTCCCCAAGCATACCGTTCATGCATTCATTCATTCAATAATTTTTGAATGCCTACTATGTAAGAGGTGTTCTGTGCATTTCAGGTAGAACATTGAGTGGACAGAGGTTCTGTTCTAATGGAGCATTCTAGTGGAGGAAATGGATAAACATATATACATAGAAATGGAGAACATGATTTTAGGTAGTGACAAATGCTACGAAGAAAATACTCCATACTCTCTCTCCTGTACCTTTTCATTTTTCACTTATCCATTTTTTTATTTAGTATGTCTAGTCTAGAAAGTCTTTATTAAGTGCTTACTGGGTGTCAGGCAAAGTGCTAGCTAAGCACAGGGCTACAGTGCAGAGCTCAGATTTGGCTTCTATGTCCTCACTCTAGTGAAGGAAACAACTAAAATTAATAAAAACCATACATTGTGGTAAGTGTTCTGAGAGGATGAACCAGGAGTTTGGAGAGCATATAGCAGGGTTACTGCTGCTGTCCCCTGGGTCTAGACACCTTTCTCTTGTCATTTCCCCTTTGCTGGGAACTCTCGTATTCATACTTCTGGAGCTAACATTAGATGTCTGCTCTCTGAAGAGTAATGCTTAGTAAATGCTTAACAAACACAAATATTTGTGGGTTTTTCTTATTATTTATTTATATAATAGGATTGTTTTGGAAATGTACGATTCTTTCTCAACTTACCCAACAGATGGATGTTTCTATTCACAAGTGGGTTAATTCACATTACTGAATAATATGGGCATTGTGATTACATTTTAGTAAAAGTAAACAAGCAAGAAAAACCCCTTTATATGTGTGTCAATTATTGTATATATTTGTGTAAGCAAGGAGAAAAGTGTAGAAGAATATATACAAGGCTGTTAATAAGGAGGAAGTGATCATCTTTGGCTTTCTGCATCTTTGAATAGATATTCACGGAATGGATGAATGAGGACTGGTAAAAATGGTTAAATGGGTGGGCCTGTGAGGGAGTAAGCATCTACTGACCCTTGAGGACTGAGAGGATACCATCCTGCTCAAATTATATACCCTTCTGTTTATGTTTTATTTTAGCTACGTTTTGGCATCTGGTTTACCTAGATGGTTTCATAAGTGAGTTAAAAACCAAGAAAGCATAAATAATCAATTCCTGTTCTGTATCCAGCTTGCTTAATAGATTCTTATGCCATAATTTCCTCTTCTGCAAATTAGGAATAATAGACTTTCTGTAAGGATAACACAATTAGACTGGTTAAAAGACACTTATATTCATAACGTACCAAAGAGTTGCCGAGTATAAACAAAAACGCTCTAATTTTTTCTTTTGTGACATCCATGCCAACTGATTATGCTCCAGAAAAATCTGGGCACTATAAAGCACTGCCATGATCCACCTTCAACTTGAATGTATTTGAACAAATTTTACCCCTCTCCCATAACCCTTAAAATTCAATTTTCTTCCATTCTGGGTCTAGACGTTAACTGGGGATCTGGTGGAGGAAGAGCCAAATCTCAGGCTATTCTAAAATAGAAGCTTTTTTACAAGTTTGCATAGGGGCCAGACTGTGTCTTTGGAGTCCATATAAACAATGCTCGAGTCATTAGAGCAACATAGAAATGAACGCAACAGTCAAGAGAAACTTTGGAGGGTTGTAGCCCAAGCTCACAGATCAGCACAGGCCTACACAACTTGCCCAAGTAGGGGCTGGGCTGTATTTGAGGTGGCCTCTGGGAATGAAGGGGAAGGCAAACGTTTTCTAAACCATATGGATTCTCTGTGAGATTTGCCACACGGATCACATTTGCAGTACTTCCTACTCCTCCCTAATAGCAAAGTATAGATATGGCCTCACCCCTATGATACTACCATGATGGCCTTCTTTCTCCCATTTTTAATTTCAACTCTCTTGCATTCACTGATACTCAGCTTGGGTCCATTGGCCATTTCCTCCAGGTAAGAAATTAATGAAAAAAGAAGAAAGGAAGATTGAGGTGCCTAAGTGCTTTCCCCCATTTACATCTCTCCTTTCTCAACAGCCACCCCCAATAGTCAAGTTGTGTATTCTTCATAATTAGCTGTATCTTGATTCAATAAAGCTTATGAAGTCTATAAAATGAAAGTAATGATGATATCTGACTTATATGGTTATTTTTAGGATTTAATAAGATAATTAAGGTAAAATGCTTAGAATGTTGCCTTGAACAGTGATCACTCATTAAATCACAACTATAATGAATATTAACAGTATTAATATTACTCAGTTATCATTCCACATTTATATTGTCTTAATAAGGATAGGCTATCTTTAGAGTTCTGACAGATGTAAAGAAATGCAAAGGTAAGGTATCATTAATCAGCCTTTAACTGTGTTAAAGAAACTCTCACAAGCAGCCCAAATTTCACTCCCTATTCATATGCACTCATCAAATAAGGAATTACTCTATTAGATGCGTCACTGGAAACCAGGAGTGGTGTGATATCCTTGCCTTGTTATTCGTGTGGGCAGAACTCTTTAACACATTCTCTGAGAATGGCAAAAGCATCATTTTCTCTTTCTCTTTCCCTCTCATGTATACTTATCTTCCATAACTGAAATTATTCAGCTCTTCCCAGCACAGGCTTAGAATACATAGATGTAGCTCCGAAGGTCAAGGCCCGAGATGGAGACAATCCAGTTTTTTTTTTTTTCCCGTAGAGTATTGAGATCTGAGATAGATTGCAAAGGGCTAGAACTTGGCTAGATAGAAGGCTTGTGTCACATAGGCTGTTTAAATATTCATACAGCCTCTTTTGGCAGCTAACAGGGCTGCAAACTTTGCCCAGAAAAAAAAAAAAAAACGAAAAACAGAGAAGATAATCACTCAATTTCATAGCACTCTAAAATGGCTACTATGAACTAAAAATTTAGGCACTGGTTTTGGTTTAATTCTTAGGCACATGTATTTTTTTTCAGCTCAGGACAATAGGCAAGTGGTTGTATGCATTTCTAAGTATTTTTCAGAGTTATATTATCAGTATCAGATACTGACATTAATACCATAAAAACTTGTACTGTCAAAGCCATCTCTTTTATAATTACTTTACTAATGACTTGAAATAACAACTGACACATTTCCCTTGCAGTCAACAGATTTGCTTATATAGTAACACATGGTTTAAACTATAAGCAATTGAGCTATAGAATAAATCATATTGGGGAAGGACCGGGTTATTCTTGAGCATAGTGGCTCACAATTTAAAGACATTTCCTTCAGTGCAATTGATTGACACCATATGTTCTTCATTAGCATCTGTGAAGATTTTAAAAATGTAGATATCTATTTATTGTTTTGTTTTGTTTTGAGCTGACAATTCTCCTTTGTAATTAAGTGTTTTTGTTGTCCTAATTTTGGCTGATAAAATTTAGTTAATCTCACAATTTCAGGTAACAACATAAAAGCAAACCTTGGCACTGCATTGAACCTTAAATTCCTTTTTTAAAATAATGTCTATTTAGTGAAAATCTACTACATTTTATGTTTTATAGCTATATTCACAAGTTGTGATTTTATCAAGTATGCATCCTCTCAATATGGCATACAAAAATGTAAACATTAAAAACACTCCTTTATCAGTTTTCTCCTTCTAACAGTATTGATCTAAAATGTAAATTCATATGAAACAGGAATAGGTAGATTAAAAGTTAAAAAAAATAGTCACTTGGGATGTCTGTGCTCAGCGTTCCTAGATGATTAATATTGCATAAGAATTAGCCATTAGTAAATACCAGGCAAGCAAAGTTAAATAATCACTATGCTTAAATTCTACTCCTAAGAAACTTCCTTCAAAAAATTCATAAAATATAGTTAATTATTGAACCGTATAAAACATACATATGTCTATAAATATATATGTGTACATATACATATATAAGGTATATAGCAAGGAAATACCTTCATGAAAAGTCATGTTTTTTGTTTGTTATTTCAGATGTACATTACCAACACAATCAAAGCCAAAGGAACAAGACTTGCTAAGCCCGTTCTATGCTTGGGCTTAATGTGTTTGGCCTTTCTTACTGGACTCAACAGAGTAGCAGAATATCGAAATCATTGGTCAGACGTGATAGCAGGGTTTCTGGTTGGAATATCTATAGCAGTATTTCTGGTAAGTACAAATTTATTTGGATATCATTGAATTTTAAATTAACTTGTATAACCTCTGTAAGAAAATACAAGTGTGAATCACTGGGTTTATCTACATGTGGTATATCAAATGATAATATACATATATTTTAAGTCATTCATTTTTTTCTCCTCCCTCATTTGTTCTGCCTAAAGTCAGGTTTAGGGATGGAAAAAAATGTAAATTCTATTTTTAAAAATGAACAAAATATTTTCATATAAAACGGAACAGGACTAAAAACACTTAGGCCTCCACGGATAGATTTTAAGACTGGGTTGCTTGGGTATTTTTAAACTTTCCTCAGGGCACTTTGCATCCTGAAGTATCTAGAGCATCTCAAAGTACCCTAGTGCCTCAGCACAGAACTCTCCGGGAGCCACCCAGTCATAGTGCTCCCTAACAGGTAGACCTCACGTGTGAGATGAACTGGTTCACATCAATAACTAAAAATTGGTGGGTAGTTTCCAAGCCAATACCATCTGAAATTAGATTTTGCCACAAAATCAAGTAGTGAAGAGCATATGTAGTGACTTCTAATGAAGTAAGCATGCCATCTCTATTCCTATTATAAAATCTCCTTGGAATATTTCTATAGGTTTTGGTTGTTGGAAAATATATTTTTGTCTGGATTTAGAGTTACTCAGTCCATTGTAAGTATGGATATATAACATTTTACCCAGATGGACTAAGTGTAGACTGTAAATCAAAACCTGTTTTTGCCTGGACATACTAGAATATAAGAAACATTTTATTTACATTTTGATTACATTTCAATTGCTTCTCAGGCTTCACTTTCCTTCTGCAACCTCCTTTCACTAGTTCATAACCAGTAAGCAAAAACTTATATGAACCTTTCCAGCTACCAAAGATTTGAGCACAGTTTATGTACCAGGCATTTTAAATCAGTTATTTCCTCCGGAACCTCCTGTGGTAAAGTGGTGACTCTGCCCTCATCCCTGCTCTACACCCTCATCCCTGGTCTACGCTCCGTGCTGCTTTTTTCCCTCATATCATTCCCTTTCTCTCTCCCAGAGATATTCTACAGCCTTATGAAAATGGGGCCCAGGCTTGGGCCAAAACCTTTTCCTTGCTTTCACTCACCACAGTTGAAACGTGTTGAGACATTTAAAACAAAACAAAACAAAAATGCCTTACATAAATCCTAAGAAAATAATCATAAACAAGGCAAAGAGCATTCTAAAAGTCAAAATTTAAAAGCACGAGTGTCAGATGTAACTGCGTTTCAGTTCCATGGGTCCAGGATATCTCCACTGGCATCTCATCAGGCTTTCTGCTTCTCTTCCTGTGGCTGTTGCCACCTTTCCTTTACTCCAGTGAACATTTTAACACCTTGCAAGGCCAAATCTAGAACCGTAGTGTCCTCCCAGTCACATCCTCATCTGAGAACCATGTGGTGAATGATGAGTTGGACTATGGATCCTCCTTGGGCTCAAGACCCTCCAACTGCACATATTCAGAACATTCCATAATGGTCCTTCAAACATTTCCACACACCCAGGAAAAAGACCTTATGATAAGGTCATGTAAAATAATGCTTTAGCTATATAATAACTAAATAAGCATTTATGCATTCATTCACAACTGTTCCTGAGTGTGAGTGCCTACAGGTACCAGGCTCTGTGCCAAGAACTGGGGATGCAGGGAGGCTCAGATAAACATGATCCTATGGGAGTTACAGTCTGGTTTGGGGGTCAGACAGTAATAGGTTATTCCCTCAAACATTCCCTCCCTCTCTTTCTTCATAAAATAAACATTTACTGAGCCCCTATTATAATCCAGGCACTGTGCTTGGTGCTGGGAATAAATATGTGAAAAAGATACAGTCCATGTACTTAAATAGATCACAGTTGGGTGGGACAAGATAGGCGCAAAGAGCTTTATACAGGGTTAAATGTAATGATAGAGATTTGTATACTTAAGAGAACAACTATGTTGGGATTAGGGGCAATCAGAAAGGGGAAGAGACACATAAACTTGAAAAATTTGGAAAGCAGGTAGGTCTAGGCTGGGTATAAGGAAGAAGGGACAAAGAGCATAGCACACAGGGGCTATGAAATGCTTCATAAAATAAACTCATATGGAGTCTTTGGTATATTCTAGGCCCAGGACACAGCATGTGCATGAGAGAACGTGGCATCCTAGAATGGTACCAGTCATCTAGCATGAGTGACAAGAGGTGGGGAATGGAAAAGCACACAGGAGGAATATCCCAAATGGCCTTGTATGTTAGAATAATCTAGGCTTTTTAAAAAATCTAGGGTTCAAGTGAGTTGAAGCTGGTTGAATCTCAGCTTCTCTATGTGCTTAATTCATGCTGTTAAGCAATTTATCTAACCTTTCTGAGCCTCAGGTTCTTCCTCTTTAAATGAGGCTAATAACAGCCTCCTTAAAGCTTATGAGGATTTATAAAGGTTAAACAAAATAGTGTATGTTCAATGAGTAGCCCCATGAATGACTGAAAGAAGTTCCATAAATGATAGTTTGTTTCCTTTCAGTCCCTTTTACTCTAATACAATTTGTGCTGTGAAGGTATAACTCCAGGTGAGGACAGAGGAGACAAGTTATGCAGAGCCAGGGAAACAAGATGGCACAAATTGGGCCTCAGTGGGCACAGAGAGAAGGGAGGATATCCATATCCGGGAGGTATTTAGGCAGGGGAATGGTTTGGAGCTTGATGGGACACTGGAGATGATGGAGGCGAAGGAGAGGGAGCAATCTATGATGATTCCTGGGTTTCCCATTTGGGCAACTAAGTAGAACATTTATTTTGAGCAGCGACTACAGCTCTGGCTGGCAATATCCTGGGGTGTTTCCAATTATCTTGCAGTGTGTGCAGAACTCTAAGATGATTCCTAAATAAAATGAACACTAACCTACTCCAAGCCTCTGCGTCTCGGGTAAAGGCATCCACAGCCCCCAGTCACCCAGTGTCTGGCATTTGCCTTTGACTCATTCTCCTCGTTCATCCCCCACACCTGATGATTCATCTATTCCCAGCTCGTTTCCACTATAACAATATTTCTTCCATGCCTTTTTTCTTTGCCATTCTGATGATAACCTCTCAATTTAGAAATCAACGCTTCTTACTTTTATTATATCTATAGGTTCCTAGCTGCCTCCTCACTTCAGACTCTCCTCCAGAGACCTCCCATTCTGCTTGTGTACACGTCATAACATAATTCATTGCTAATGACCAAACAAAAACCAAAAACAAAAGCCTCTTTCCTGCTGCACTAAATCCAGGCGCTTCTGGGGCCAGCCCGGTGGCGCAAGCAGTTAAGTGCGCGTGCTCCACTGCGGCAGCCCGGGATTCACCGGTGCGGATCCCGGGTGCACATCGATGCACCACATGCCATGCTGTGGCGGCGTCCCATATAAAGTGGAGGAAGATGGGCATGGATGTTAGCCCACGGCCAGTCTTCCTCAGCAAAAAAAGAGGAGGATTGGCAGATGTTAGCTCAGGGCCGATCTTCTTCACCTAAAAAAAAAAAAAATCCAGGCGCTTCCATTGGACTTCTGGGATCCCCAGTAATCTGTCTGCACTCTTCCTAGCTGAGTTTATGCTTCCCTCTTTGCAGTGGAAACCCCGTACTTTGAATCCAGTCAGTTTTCTTCCTCTCTCACAAACAGGCTCTGTCCAGCCTACACATATGCCTCAGGGTGAAATGTCCTTTTCTCTGTATATTTTAGAGAGCAAAACAGGGGTGTGGGAATCAGACAAACTGATGGCTCAGCTGAACCCTACTTTTGCTACTTGCTTGATATGTGACCTTGAACAAGTCACTTAGCCCCTCATTATTCCTCAAATAATGAGGCTTCCCTGAACCATATTTAAAATGGCTACCCTGCCCCCAAGGACTTCTTCCTCATTCCCTATTTACTTTTTTCCAAAGTATGTTTCAACTTTTAATATACCACATATAATATTTTTGTTTTTGTTTTTTTTGCTGTCAAGCCACTAGACTATAAACTCCTTATGGAGAACATTTTATTTGTTTTCTTCACCTCATATTCCCAGTACCCGGTACAGGCTCTGGTACATAGGAGGTTCTCAGGAAATATTTGATGAATGAATGAATGAACTATTTTATTTACTTCCCAGAGCTCTTTTGAAGGTTAAGTGAAATCACATCTATAATAAGTGCAGTCGAGTGTGGTACAGAGAAGGCTCTGGGTATCATGATCCTCACCTTTGACGACTGTATTCAAATCCTTTTTCAGGCACTTGAGATTTTCTCAGATAAGCCCCAGCTTCCCCAGGAAGGTTCCATGATTACCTGGTTCCCCCTTTTTTCCTGAATTTCCACTGCACTCACAGTCTATCCTGTTACAACTAACAAGGAATCACATTCTATACTAAGTCTGTCACTCTTATCCCATGTGCATTTTCTTTAATGTTAGAAAACAGAATCCTTATGCTTAGGAAAACACAAATACTAGTTGAACAATACTTGTAGGTTGAATAATATTTTTATACAAATGTTTGCCTCAAAGCACTTCCAAAAAAGATGTATTTTACAGTGTCAGGTGAAATATTCAAGTTTACTGAGCCACAGCAATACCCTGTCATGTTATTATGTGTAAAAACATATATCATCTAATATATATCATAATAACATATCATAGTAATAACAGTGAGTTATTCAAGTACTCTTTACTATATTAACTCAAATAATCTTCACAATAAGACATAAAGATGTAGTTATTAGTGTCCTCATTTTGCAGATGAAAGAAACAGGTCTAGTTATAGTAACTAGCTTGCCCAGGCTCACAAAGTAAGTAAATAAGACAGCTTAGGATTAAGGCCCCAGTCTGTGTGACCTCAAAGCCTGTGCGCTTAACCGCATACAGCAAAGATGTTTTATTTACCCCAAGGGAAGAGGGAAAAATGATCACAAATGGATCAGATTAATTTATTGTCACTACTGGAAAAAGAAAACAAAAACATGTGTAGTGGTGACTTATTAATGTCATTTTTGTAGGAGAGGGTAGAATTATACACATGAAAGCTACTAATGTAAAAACAGAATGTTTCAAAGGAAAGTCACTTTAAATCAGAGAAGTTGAGAATTTTTGGCCTGAATGCATGCTCATTCACTAATCTATTCAATTACTGTGTCACTGAGAATACAACAGTGAGCAAAAAAGAGACAGTGTCTCTGCTTTCATGGAGCTCACAACCTTGGAAGAGACTCACATCAACCAAAGTATTACTTTAACGGATGTATAATTTCATACAGAGATAGGGCGCTTTGATGAAAAGAATCACAGTTCCATGTGAGCAAACAAACAAACAAAAACCTAGGGTCAAGGAAGTCTGGTGAGGAAGTGATACTGAGCTGAGATACCACAAATGGGTAAGATATGGTGTCCAAAGACAGTGAAAATGAGTATTCCAAACAGAAGGACGTGAAGGAGAACTGAAGCTGTTTGGAAAACTGCGAGAAGGAAGACCGCAGAGGTGGGCCAGAGTTTACACTGTAAGAGAAATGGGAAGCCAGGCCACGAAATGGTTTTAAGAAGGATCACATGATCCAGTTTGCATTCCAGAAAGATCATTCTCACATCATTGCACAAAATGGATTGGAGGGGGTCAAGATTGGATTTAGGGAGACTTTAGAAAGCTATGCAGGAATCCAGGCGAGTGGTGGTGATTGCTTAGTCTTTGGTGTTGATGGTGTAGATAGAACAAAGCAGATATAAGAAATCAAAATATTTAGGGAGGTGGGGGCTGGCCCCACGGCTTAGCGGTTAAGTGCGCGCTGGTGGCACAGGTTCGGATCCTGGGTGTGCACCGTCGCACCACTTCTCCAGCCATGCTGAGGCCGCATCCCACATACAGCAACTAGAAGGATGTGCAACTATGACATACAACTATCTACTGGGGCTTTGGGGGACCAAAAAAAAAGGAGGAGGATTGGCAATAGATGTTAGCTCAGAGCCGGTCTTCCTCAGCAAAAAGAGGAGGATTAGCATGGATGTTAGCTCAGGGCTGATCTTCCTCACACACACACAAAAAAATTTAGGGAGGAAAATTGGACAAATTGAATGACTGGTTGAATACAGGAGGTATAAAGGATAAATGCCTGTTTTCAGCCTTGTGTAACTGCGTTAGGGGAGTGGGGGTGCGGGGATGTTGCCTTTCCGTGAGGGGTCTGGAAAAAGATCAGGTTTTGCAGTGGGGTTAGGAGATGGGCGGAAGTTGGATTTCATGTTGAACATTTGTTGAATTTATCATACCTTTGCCTACCAAAGAAATGGAGCTAACTTGGTGATCTGTTGCAACCTCTTCACTTTTGAATTGAGAAAACTGAGACCCAGAGTACTGTCCAAGAACATACAGCCTCAGGATCCAAAACCAGGTCTCTTGCTTTTTTCTATGAGCATTTTACTAATAGGAAATCAATTCCATACTGAATGTTAGCAGACAAGACTTATTAAATATTTGAATACCATTCTAAGAAAGATTTGGTAATTTCCTTCCTTATAATTTAAATAATAACAGCTGATGAATAATCATTATGCTAATAGATGCCATTTAATGAATATCTACTATGTGTCAGGCATTTAAATATTTCACATGTCAATTCTCAGCTGTTTCGATGGTGGTGTTCTGACCCTCAATGAGGGCAAAGAGATAGTTGATACAACCTTTCAAAGAGTTCTCCACACCTGAATAATATAAAAAACAATTATACTAATTTCAGAAGGACATATTAACTCTAAATGAACTTTCCTTCATCTCGTGAGTTACACATGTTATAACATAGTCATAATAAATAACAGTTATTTCATTTCAACAAAGTGTTCTTCAGAAGAATTTGTAGTAATTTTTTTCATCTCTCCAATTTTCCATTAATTTATAATATTAATGAAAAGGGACATGTATGTGTATATTTCATGAAGCGGGTGTGAAACTGCTTGTTGGTTTTGTTGTTGTTAGCTAAAATTCTTGATTTTATCCTGTGTACTCCAGGCAGCGATCAGTTGGAAAACTACAGCCCTTGTAAAAAAAGTTATATTGGGACACTGACATGCCTATTCTTTTATGAATTGTCTGTGGCTGCTTTCACACCAAGAGTCAGAGTTGAGTAGCTGCTGTAGAGATTGTATGCCTGCAAAGCCAAAAATATTTCTTATCTGCCCTTTACAGACAAAATTTGCTGCCCCTTGCTCTAGGGCAATCACTATCTGTTAGTCCTCTGTAGGGTCATCATTTGATAGTTGGTTTATCAAGTACCTGTCTCCAAGCTGTTAGAATCCCTTACTTTTAAAGATCTTGATGTCAGTGATAAAGTTAAGGTATCAAATTATCAGGCTTTTATCTACGCTTCTGATCTATAATTCCTCAAGGAAGTGGAAGGATAATAAATATATAACAATTTGCAAGGAAATATTTTTTTTGGAGATAAAGCCACACGGTATGTGTTATTATTTTGTAGATTTGTAAATTTTGTTAAAAACTGGAGACTAACCAAGATCTAATTGGCCTTTGAAAATATTCAGTAATGAGCCCTACCAAAGAAAAGGCTTTCCAATGGAGCATTTGTGTAAATGTGTAATTATATATTAAGCATTTATTTAAAAAGTGAATGTTAGGTATTAACTGCAAATGAGTTCTGTTTTTTTGTTTTTTTTGTTTTTTTTTGGTGAGGAAGATCAGCCCTGAGCTAACATCCATGCTAATCCTCCTCTTTTTGCTGAGGAAGACCGGCTCTGAGCTAACATCTATTGCCAATCCTCCTCCTTTTTTTTTCCCCCAAAGCCCCAGTAGATAGTTGTATGTCATAGTTGCACATCCTTCTAGTTGCTGTATGTGGGACGTGGCCTCACCATGGCCAGAGAAGCGGTGCCTCGGTGCACACCCGGGATCCGAACCCGGGCCGCCAGTAGCGGAGCGCGGGCACTTAACCGCTAAGCCATGGGGCCGGCCCCTGAGTTCTGTCTTTTGATATGATAATAGAATATAAAACCCAGAAAAAGAAGGCTCAAGCATACTTACCCCCTAGTTAGTATAAGCAAATAATAGCAAGTAATTTTCCTGTGTTGTTTACTTCACCATTTTCTTAAAGATGATCCACCTGCATCAGGATCTTCTGGAACGCATTTTAAAGATTTTATTTATTCATTTTTTTCCCCCCAAAGCCCCAGCAGATAGCTGCACGCCATAGGTTCACATCCCTCTAGTTGCTGTACGTGGGACTCGGCCTCGCGTTGGACGGAGAAGTGGTGCCTCGGGGCGCGCCCGGGATCCGAACCCGGGCCGCCAGCATCAGAGCGCGCGCACTTAACCGCCAAGCCACGGAGCCGGCCCTGGAACGCATTTTAAAAGTGTCAGTTCCTAGGCCTCACCCTTCACCTACAAAATCAGTCTTTAGGGAAGGACTTAGGAATGTGCATTTTTAACAGTGCCAGAGCCTTATTTTTATGCACACTAGAGTATGACAACCTCTGGTTTAATTCAAATTATGTCACCTATGAGATATAATCAGTTGAAACAAGGGTCAATTCCTTTTTCGTAAAAGGTCTTCTCTTTCAGTAGTATCCCAGTAAGCTATTGTTGGAAAAATAACAAGCATATATGGGCTACAATAATAGACAATAAACCAGGTTAATTAAAGGGATGCTGCTAAATTAGGGAGTGCCAATTGTAGAAGGTTTATTATGAATGTTACGATCTTGAAGCAATAGGAAATAATTAGCATTCAAATTAAGCTGTAGGTTCGCCATATTAGGGAAAAGTTAACTTGCTTTGAATTTTTATAAGGATATGATGCTATTTTTGGATTGATTTGAGCATTGACTATAACCTAATTTAATGGAAATTTTAGAATAATAAAATTGTCATTATTAACTGAGCTACATATTAATTGTTGAATTTTCTTGAACACATTTGCACTGGAGTAACTATTCAAATTTATGTAAGATAAATCTGGATTTAAAGTTATATGCATGTAATATTTAAGTAATTTTAATCATTTATTATTATGATTAGATTTATTAAGCTACTCAAAAGGGTCACGGTCATAGGGACCTTGGCTTTGCTTTAAACTGTAATTTTTTTCTGAAATTTTAGGTCGTGTGTGTGGTAAATAATTTCAAAGGAAGACAACCAGAAAATGAGCATATACACATGGATAATCTGGCACAGATGCCAATGATCAGCATTCCTCGAGTAGAAAGTCCTTTGGAAAAGGTAACATCTATACAGGTGATTCATAATTTAAATTCTAAAATGTGATTGTTATCTAGAGCAAATGAATAATTATTTCCGAGAGAACGTGCACAGTCATTTCTGATTTCCTGAAGCAAGCTCATAGTCTAATGTGATATTTAGCAAGAATTTTGTCACTGAAGACATCATCTTAGAAAAATGTATATCACATTTAAAATATTTCTTCGAATCCCTCATGCTAAAAGATGAGTAGCTGTACATGAAATATGTCCTGTACTTTGTCGTGGCTTCTAGATAAGGAACGTTGTGCAGTGGTCTCACACGTAAGCAAAATAATAAGATAGTTTTACTTGAGAATATATGCATTTTTTCATAAAATATATTCCATTTCTTCCATGCTCTATTTATAGGAGAAATTGCTTAGTATAATGCCTGGCATATAATCAGGGCTCAGTAAGTATTTGCTGAATCTGAATATATAAATATCTGGCAGCAGGAAAATATCGTGCTCTCCTAATCAGGGAGGCACTAAGGGTCAGGTTGGGCTGAATGGAGCCAGACCAGGTAGCACTTTGAATGGCAGGTCAAGGCCTCACAGGGCATGGCAGTGAACACAGAAGCCAAATATTTAAGGAATACTTTTCCTGAGACTTTTGTGAACTAGGGAGAGTAATATTTCTTAAATGATGATGCAGTTATGCACATTTGTAGCCAGTTAAATGATTACTCGGAGGGTTACTAATGGCTCCTGCCCAGCCCTGACCGCATCCACATTTTGATCAATATCTTGGATGAAGAATTCAATTACATACTAATCGGGGGTTTGGATGGTATGAATTTGTGAGGGTTAATTAATACATTGGACGAAAGAATAAAAGTTCTTGAGAGACTACAATAAGATACAATTAACAACTAGCTAGAAATAAAGGAAATGATTTATATTTGGATTAAAAAAAGTTCATGAGGGTAGAGTTTATCTAGATTAACTCCACAAACGAAAAAGGCTCAGAAAGTGTAGTAGGCTACATTCAGCGTATGTCAATAGCATGACACAGCTGCCAAGAGTTAATATGATCCCACTTAGGGAGAGTGATATCTTGAATGATGGGACTGATGGTTTGCTCTGCTCAGACCAACGTGAATACTGTGTACTGCCCTTTGTGAGTTATTAAGGTGGACGTTGATAAAATAGAACAGTCAGCACTCAATAAGTATTTGTTAAATGAGTGAATGAATGTGTCTAGGATGGTGAGTGGACTCAAAGTCAAGGACTTTGGAAGAGCAAAAAATGATTAGTCTAGAGAAAAAGAAAACTCACTGAAGAAGCAATAGCTTCCCATAAATATCAGAAGGACTGTTGTATGGCAAAGGGATGCGATTTGTTCTGCAGGGCCTCAGGGATCACAATTAGGGTGAAAGCAAAGAAAGTGTAAGAAGATAAATAATGTCTGGAAAGAAGTAAAAACTTTCTGAAAATGGAAGGGCTGCCTTAAGAGCAATGAAATTTCCTTTTACTATAGAGATTCAAGAATAGCTAAATAATCACTTATCCATGATTCTGTAGAGGGAATTCAAGCATTTAGGTGAGGATAGAAGTACTAGATGATGATGATGATAATAATAATAATAATGATAGCAACAACAACTACTATTTAATGATCATTCAGTATGTGTCAACTACTACGCTGATTCCTTATGTATATTCCACAAAAGCACTTGTGTACTCTATGAGTATAATTTCATTCCTTACAACAATTTTTAGATTGTTGGCTATCATGATAGTGGCAAAGACTGCTAATAGTTCATCAGTATCCCTTCTCCCCTTCTTCCTTATAGTAACTGAATTCCCCAATCCAATTTTAGCTACACTCATGACTGCCACGCGATAGTCTATATTTCCCAGCTTCCATTGCAGATAGATGTGACCAGACAACTAAGTTGAGACCAATGCAATGTAAACAGGAGGGGTAGGTGCAACCTCTGATTCATCTCTTTGAAGATTCTTGTCCTGGACATATTCTACCCCTTCTCGCCAAATGGAAAAGGTAATGACTGGAGTAATCTTTAATTTTTTAAGATGACTGATCCAACTTGACAGCCTGGATTCCTGGATGAGCTCACGGAGCAGTCCACATACACATTCTAGATGGTTCTGAGAAACAAATAAACTGCTTTCCTCTTTGAGCCATTGGATTATTTTAATCTCTTTTCTACAGTGGTTTAGCTGATGCCCTATTAAAATTTCCTCATTGTACAGCTAATAAAACTGAACTTCCAAGTGGATGAGCAGTTTTCACAAGTCCACATCATTGATAACAAAGAAAAATTATACAATGTAATATTTCAAGATACATGCCTATATCATAAAATATATTTTTTAAAAATGAATAATTTGTACAAAATTAGATCTTATTTAACTTAAAAAATAAAGATAGAAAACTGTAGAACTTAAGAAGAGATCTTAAACATATTTTGAAGAAAACAGGGAAACAATTAGTCTTCATTTTATATACCTCTGAAATTAACTAGAACAATACTCAGTCTTCTGCTTTTTAACATACTTATTTGCATAAAGGTTCTTTAGTAGCCTCCTAGCGTTAACAAATGTTCTTATATACCATTATATCATTTTATATATTAAATGATTAAAAAATTTTGTTGATTTTATGCTAATTCATTTTTATTTACAGTGAGTTTTAAAATATTAGATGATGAAAACAAAAAATATTCTATTAGAATCTATAGATTGCAAGAGATCAGTGTTTATTAACTTCTTTCTTTCATTCATTCATTTTTTTTTTGTTTATGACAAATTCATGGGCTTTGTTTCCACTCCGGTAGTTAGAGAATAAAGACAATTTGAGTCTGATTCGATTCTCCCGTTTACCCTCCAGAGTACATTGGCACATACCTTGCTGAGCTGCAATTTTCGTCTCCAATCTTTTCATTCCTGTTTCCAGGCAGAACGCTGTCTGCACAGTGCATGGTCTGCTCCCTGCACTCACACAGGCCACAGGAAGATCACGAGTCCAGGTGCTGGGAATACATCTCAGGCTTCCCTTTGGAGCTCTGCTGCTGAGAGGACATGTACATGTGCTCATCAGCCAGAAAGGGAGGAAGGCCGCCACTTAAGGGAAGCCCACAATAGCTTTTTCTTCTTTTTGTGATATGGAGTATTTGGAGTAAATATATTGTTTTTCACAATATATTTCACAATATATCGTAGTTCACAATGGGAAACAAGTAAACGCAAAACTCTTCCTGGTAGTTTGATCTCAATAATTGATAGTTGGAGACTGATGTTAGACCCTTAAAGCTGGTCCTCTGAGGAGAGGGAGGGTGCCTGCTTAAGGCTTGGTCTGCAGGTATGGCCAGTAGTTTTAGCATAATTATGCCAAGCTATCATTTTCTGGTTGTTAGTTTTGTGTGGAGAAGGCAAAGGGTTTCTTTTAGAAGTTATGTACTTGCATAACCTCATGTTCAAACTACATGTTTGATAAACTGTAAGCTACAGAGTAATTATAGCATGCAAGCATTCTTTATTTTTATGTCAGCAATTTATCCCTTAATTATAGGGAGTTTGTCATATAGTTAATTACCATAGTTTATGAGGGAAAGCCGTGATGTTTCTAGAAGCTAAGTAAATCTGAACATTCATTACATTTGGTTTTATGAAAAGAATTAATCATCTGTATGAAAACTGGCCCATCATATCCCAATGTCCACTAAATATTTAAGTTACCAGTAACTTCATTACAGCAGTTTGTAATATCAAATCATGAAAAGTCTAAATGTATGTCAGTAGCGAATTATTAAATTAATTGTACATTTCTACAATGGAATCCAGTACATTATAGTGTGGTGTCTGCTCACAGGTTTTGGAGGTAGACCGGCAGGGAATTTTGCACAGTTTTGCCCTGGGGCAACTTACTTAAATGCTCTGTGACTCAGTTCTCTCACTCACAAAACGGTCGTTACAAGAATTCAATAAGCTAATAGTGAAGCACTTAGAACAGCGTCTGGTGCCTATGAAGCCCTTAATTGTTGCTAATTATAATTATTATTACTATTTAGCAGTTAAAATGGATAGCCACATGCAAAAAAATGAAAGTAGACCCTTACCTTACACCATACACAAAAATTTACTCCAAATGGATTAAAGACTTGAATGTAAGACCTGAAACT